CCCCCCCCCACACACACACACACACATTCTTATCTCACATCCTTCTTTCATAATATATTCATTCTCTAATTTTAAAGATTTTAATTAATTTTTTTATTCCCAAAAAATATTTTATTATAATTAAAATTGAATTGATATTTATTTTTATATTTATTTTGTTTATTATCATTTTTTAATTTATACATATATGTAATATTGTTGATATTTTAATAAATTAATTATAATTACAATTACGTGCTTAGCAGATTGCTTCCATTAAACGATTATTGACGTTGTTGTTTCAGCTTCATCATGGCATACTCCTATCATGGCGTACTCCTCTCTTCACAAGAAAATTGGTACACACAATAGCGATGGGGATAGGGCGTTACACACACAAAAAAAACATGCTGTCATAGTGCGCAAGCGGATTTACATGTGCACTGATTGCGGCAAGGGTTTCACGTTGAGGATAAAACTCTCGAAACATCGGAAGTTGGAATGTGTAAACATGTGAGGTAACAGGTAGTACAGAGTTTTAACTGTGAGATTTGTCCGTAAGTGGTGTGTTGATAGGTACAGGAAGAGATACCGTGCAGCGCCTTCTAAAATCAATTTTCGACAATGCAATTAACTCTCTCGCACTCCTAATAATTTTTATTAAATTGTCTCAGAGCAATATTTGCAATATTGACAAATTCTTTCGACTACTACCTGCGATTATTAATATAAAATTGAAATATTCATATCGTCTTGAAGTCCTCTCAGAATTAATGTTCAATTCTTGTGTCTGATGTCGCTAATTGCTTTTATTAACCGATTTGACATTGGTGTTTCAGCGATATGGTCTTACAAGAGGATGGATGGATACGACGTCGGTGATGTACAACATCAACAACGAGGAAGTGTTGTCTATGAAACGCGCGAGAGGACTTATATGTGCGCGGATTGTGGCAAGAGTTACGCGGTGAAGAGATCCCTCTGGAGGCATCGGAAGTTCGAATGCGTGAATGCGAAACCGAAATTCAGTTGTGACATATGCTCATACAAGAGTCCTCACAAATGGTGCATCGACAAACACAGAAAGAAGCATCACGGCATTTTCTACAATCGCTTCCCTAATTAAAGCTCCTAGCACTATCGAACCGATTTTGAACGTTGTTCTTGTGATGAAATGATTTCTTCTTTTAATGATATTTTGTTTTATTAATCCTCCAATTATCTGAATGCCGCTATAGTTTTTCAATTTTTATGAACAATTGATTGTACCGATAAAAGAATTTGATTGATAGAAGAATTTATAACCTGCATATAAATATGTTCTTCAGATATAGTAATTAGTAGACTATTTGAGAATAATATACAGGGTGAACCATTTTAATTTATCCAGTCAATTTTCTCAAAATCTGTAAGTTTAAGGCAAACTGTTTCAGATAAAAGTTTTATAATTTCAAGGGGGAAAGAAGTTGATGACCTTGGTTGACTTTAAGAAGATGCCCTTAAGGTCATCTTCTCAAAATCAGGTCAAGGTTACTTAAAATTTTTTTAATGAAATCCCTCATTTTTTATTACATATTCTTATAGCTGACTTCAAGACCTTTTAAAAACACTATAATAATATTATTTTTTTGTTAAGTATTTTCCAAGTTACGAGGCTTCAAAGTTACAGTGCCGCCGGCATTTGCATTACCCAAGGTGTCATATTGATGGCTAAAATCTCTTGAATGTTGTTCAGGATCATGACTTGGATAACATTTGTCAAGTTCAAGGTCATTAGAGGTTGTTCCTCTTATTTTCATTTTTGTACTAAAAATTTATTTCTACGTAAAACTTAAAATGTTATCCAGATCTTGAACAACAAGAGGTTTTACTCATCAGTCTGACACCTTAGGTAATGCAAATGCCGGCGATACTATAAGCCGGCTTATAGTATATATACTTTGAAGCCTCGTAACTTGGAAAATAATTAACAAAAATAACATTATTATAGTATAACAAAAATAACATTATTATCGCATTATTCTCAAATTGGTAGCCAAATTGGTAGTTTCAAGTATTATTGTCGCATTTCATTGCAACAAAGAAAAAATTAGCTTTAATTTTAATTTTTACTATCGAAGGATTGCAATGTATTTATGGAATGTAAATTTTTGAAAATATTCTTTTATGTATGATAATGATGAATATGTTGTGAATACTGACATTAATTAAAAAAAAAAAAGAACATCCTTATTATTTTTGAAATACGGAAAAATTTTTGAAGTACGGAAAAATACGTACACGAACATACAATTCTGTTTCCAAAAATTTTTCGTTGAACTTTATTACATTCATTCTTGTATAATTTATAAATTACGACTATTGTACTGTGAGTATAACTATATATAATTATGTAATATTAAATGTGAAATAAATTAAAGATTCTTTTTGCAACAGGCACAATATACTATTTTGTTGTTTTTGTTCTTAGAATTTCTAGTGATATTTAGATTAAGATATATGTATTTGTAATATCTATAAGCACATTAAAATATATGTACTAACAATTAATAATCTTATGGAAAATTTTTACCCTTTAGGTTCTTTGTCTCTATAACAATGAACAAGGTCTTTAAATAAAATTCAGACTACGGAAATAAAAATTATTGAGAAATTGCAAGAATGCAGAAGAATAAGATAGTGGGATATAAAATTTTAAATATAAAATAAATAGTAGCAAATAAGTAGAAGAGAATTAAATGTAGAAGACGTTGTATTCAACTATTATTGTTATTATTATTATTATTTGGTGTTTTTTTGTTTTTCAGTTATTCCTTGGAAAGTCTGTGTTTTCGCAAATTCTTCAAAAAATTCATTGTATTCGTTTATTGGAATATTATGATATAGATTCTCTCTATATGAATGAAGAAATTTGTGAGAATATATGATGTAATACAAGTTAGGAAAAGTTATTTACGAGTTAATAGATATATTAACGCAAAAGTTTTTTTTAGTTTAATATTTCGATTTTAAATTTCACATGACAACTCATGAGGATATCGAAAAGCGAAATAATGTTTGTATATATTATTTTAGCAGTGAGTGCTTTATATTTTATATAATAGAATATGTTTGACGGCTTGGTAAATTAGTTTCTAATCCTCCTGATCCCGAATCAGGTTCCTTCTAGAACTTATAGAGTAGTTGTCCTTGTGTGAATTAAATTTGCAAAATTTTCCGAGCTTTCGTTGATTTTTAGGATGGCTTTTAAATCTAAGGGATGCATCAAACTTCCGTAAAGAGCATATTTCCGATCTTCTTGTGGCAAGAAATATTCGTCTAAGATAATCAGAATCTTTAGTTGGATTTATGAGATATCGATTATATATTAATTTCACGTTTTATGTAGATTCTGTTTAAATTCAGTTCAAACATCTCATGTTTATTGCAAAGTCGAACAAGCAAGTTACTTCTTGATGTAGAAGCATTAATTATTTCTATTTTGGCTGATATGAATGTTTTGAATTGTCTTTCTTTCATTGTATCTTTATTCGAGGAAGTTAGAATTTATATCTATTTACAAATGTGAAATGATTACATCTCATAAGTCAGACTGATCGTCACCTTAGATATCCGCGAGTGCTTTCATCGTTCTATCCTGATACTGCTGTTTTTGTTGAATCCTTTTCTTTTGCGAGGCTTGAACAGCGCAGTTAGCTTTCGCTTAACTAACTAACTCGATCCCTCTGTTTCCAGCTTACCGGAAGATGTACATGGGCGATCAGGTTCTTGGCTATACTTGCACTATGTGCAGCAAGTTCTACAAGATGTGGAGTAACTATTTGAAACACAAATGTGAACCACCGCAATTCAAGTGTCCGCTGTGCCCATTTGCTGCCTTCAAAGCCTTCATCCTGCATGCTCATCAGGCAGAGCAGCACTTCAAAGTTACTTCGCCGAACAATTAAACGATCTACGGTGATCCAGATCGGGGAGGAATTGTCAAATTGCCTTAGTCGTCGTTACGATTCTTCGTGGCATGTGTGCCATACTGCCATGACTCTTAAACCGTTCTCAAGAAATGAAAGAGTTTGCAGTTCAAAAATGCAAGAATTTATGAGCAAGTCATTTCGAGACGTCGACGACCGTTTTCTACGTAGTCCCGATTAGAAATCTCGTGAAAGCGTTCTCTCCGAAGAATATATTTTTCCTAAACTCGCCACAAAGGCGATGAGGTAGTTCCCGAGTCGTTATCATAAAATAGTTTGACATATTGCGTTAGTTTGTAATCAGCGATCAGCACATTTTGTGAAAAGATTCAGATCTCACAGATGAACGGTGCATACAAATTTATAAATGAAAAATAGAAATGAAAATTGTGGTATAAATTTGTAGTATATCTTTCTCCTCCCTAACACTTTATTATGTAATTATATATCATAGTAATGCGACTGAGATATGCAGAAATATAATGCGATAGTTCATATACCAATGTAACGAGTAGCGTAGTTTAATCTACGGTAAACCGTAAAGGAAAGAAGACTGAATGACAATAATAAGGCTTAGAAGATTATCTCTCATCTGTATTATGCTTTAAACTATACTATAAATCTTTAAATGCATTTTTTCTTTCTTAAAGAATGCGATATTCTATTGGAGGAGTAGGAAATGTTCACCTCACTACATCTAAGGCCAAGCATTGGAAAGAACAAAGTATAATATAAATGAATATTTTGTTCACCGAGGATCAGTATTGAGATCTGATGATAGATATTGCTGCAACAACACTATAAACTATCGATTCTCTCTTTTTCACCGCATAATAATCTAAAAATTTTATCTCGGCACGAAGTGCCGGCCGCTTACCTATAAAAGATACTGTATAATCCGTAGTATTTATAAATGCATGTATTTTCGTAATACCAATAATAAAGTATCATAAAAGCATCTAAAGCGAAACGACAGTCTTATTCTCAGTTAGCAAGCCAGTACGATATATTAAATATGGCGATCCTTTCGCTCTTCCCCCATCGTTAAGTAGAACCTCGAATCGATGTTTTACTCAATAATAACAGCAATATAAATCTTATTTTGATGAGCTAACCTTTTCACTACTTTAAAGAATTTTTTAATTATGTTTTTTTGCAGAATGTTATAATTGTTAATTTCTTTCAATGTAAAATTTTTATCTATCATTGCTGTTTCTTTCAGAATTGACCAAGACCAATGCCACCTCTGTTTTCTTCGAAGTATATTTTTTCAGAACGCTACTAATAGATGATTGAATGCACTCTCTGTTTCAGATCGTCCAAAGGATTTGGCAGGATTTCAAGAGCTTAGTGAGCTACCCGGTACGGCACAGAAAAAATTGGATGTATACCGCGCACGCAGAATGCTAATGTCGATGCTAAATGCTTTTGTGGGGGCGAGAGCATTGTTGATTGTCGCGACGTGTATTAAGACGGTTATTCAAGATGGCTTTCTTCCTTCCGTTTCAGGTTTCCACACTTGCTGCGAATGCCAGAAAACGTACAAGTCGCGGATGGCCCTGAATCGGCACGTGCGAGAGGAATGTGGCAGAATCTTGTATACCTGTCCGTACTGTCGCAACATCATGCCGATGAAGTTTAATCTATTGAATCACTTGAAGAAGGAACATGGTTGCTAAGATTTAACTCGACGAGTGATTGCCGAAGAAATTCCTCTTATCACTTCGTGATCGTATTGATTGATGTTAATATTGCTTTTTTCCCATACAGCACAAAATATTGAGAAATGTTTTCAAAAAAATAATTTTTTTCTATATTTTTATAAATTTTATTTTTTTAAATATTAAAAAATATTTTTTTAATAATGACATTTAATAATATTTTAAAATGTCTTAACAAGTTTAGAAGTATTTGAAAATGGTTTTAATACTCTCTTTTATGGCAATTTTTAACAATACCAGCAATATTTTAAATAATATTTTATTTCTAGAAGAAAAGAAATTATTTTTCCAGTGAAGCAATATTCCCAAACGATTTTACAATTATTGAATAAATTTGCATGCAATCTTTTTAAAATATTTTTGATAATATTTTTTCGATATGATCTGGAGACATAGACATATTCTAAAAATATTTTCGAATGTTTATGAATTATTTAAAAACATTTTAATATTTTTAAAAATATTTTGTGCCGTTTGGGTTATCAACAAATGAAATTTTTTTGAAGTCCGACAGTCCTTACGAAACGTGACACTTGTTTACAATAAACGTTGTAAACAATTAAAAGTATATTTGTGTTCAAACTTACTGCGTTTCACAGTTATAAGAATAAAAATGATTCGAGAGATATTCGGTGCTTTATGCCATAAAATATTTATGAAATTTCATATATTGTAGCATCTTTTGCTATGTAAAATAAGTTTATTATTAACACAAATATGCAAC